TTAGTAAATAGCATAGATAAAAAAAAAGTGCAAAAAATAAAAAAAAAATACTTACCGAAAAAACTAACGAAAAAGAAAAAAAGTGATAGAAGAAAAAAGAAAGAAATCGAGTAAAAGAAGTAAAAAAAAGAAGAAAAAAAATATGAAGTGAAAAAAAAAAAGAGAAACAAAGAATAAAGGTATAAAGAATAAAGAAGAAACAAAGAAATGACTAAGTGAAGAAACAAAAACAAAAAATAAACGAAGAAAAAGATAGAAAGAATAAAGATAGAACAAAAAAAATAAAAATAAAGATAAAATGAAGAAAAAGTAGAAAGAATAAAAAAAGAATAAAGAAAAGAATAAGCGAAAAATAAAGAAAAAACAAAGAAAAGAATAAGAAAAAAAAAAAAGGAAGAAAAGAATAAGAAAAAAAAGAAAGAACAAAGAATAAAGAAACAGAAAAAAGAAATTAAGAAAAAAAGGGAGCGAAAAAAAGAGCAAAGCAATAACACTGACACCAATTATGGTGATACACATAACAACGGCACCAACTACGGCGACTTCATGAAACAACTTAAAAGACAACTAAATTATTAAGCCTAAAAAAAAAAAAAAAGAGTTAGTTAAATACAAAATAAATCGAAAAAAAAAGAAATAAAAAAAAAAAAGAAACGGAAAAAAGAAATTAAAAAAAAAAGTGAGTGAAAAAAAGGAGCAAAGCAATAATACTGATATCAATTACGGTGATGCACATAATAACAGCACCAACTATAGTAACTGCAAAACAACTTGAAAGACAACTAAATTATTAAGGCCAAAAGAAAGAAAAATAAGTTAGTTAAATACAAAATAAATCGAAAAAAAAAGGAATAAAAAAAAAGAAATAGAAAAAAGAAATTAAGAAAAAAAGGAGCAAAGCAATAATACCAATACCAATTATGATGACGCACATAATAATGGCATCAACTACAGTGACTTTGCGAAACAACTTGAAAGACAACTAAATTATTAAGGCTGAAAAAAAGAAAAATGAGTTAGTTAAATACAAAAAAAATCAAAACAAAAAAAAAAACATTAAAGAAGTGAAAGAGAAAAGAAGAACAAAGTAAGAAGCGAAAAAAAGCAAAAGTCAAAAAGATCAGAAGACAAAGAAAAAAGAATAAAAAACAAAGTAGAGCTCCTAGATTTGATTTGGTTTGGTTTTGGTTTGACCAAACTTCAAATTCAAACCAAACACAAACTTAAAATTTTACTAATTTTTAAACTTAAACCAAACCAAATTTTTTTTTTTAAACTTAAACTAAACCCAAACTTAATTTTAAGTTTGATTTGGGTTTGGTTTGAAAGTTTGCAAACAGTTTGAAGTTTGAAATACCATATATGTTTAAAAATAAGCTACAGTCGACTCTAGATATAACGAACCTTTTTATAATAAACACACTATATAACGAACTTTTTTTAAAAATTTATTATAGGTTCAGTATATAAAATATAATAAATTACTATATAATGAACTTTTTAAAAATTTTTACTATAAGACTTGTCAGTTCATTATAAACAGAGTTGACTGTATTATTTTTGGCCAAAAAGTTATACAAAATTTTGCGAGTAGCTTATTTTTAGATAAAAGTGTTTTTGCCAATTGCGAAAAATTTTACTAAGTAAATCGATTATACGTATTAAGTCAAAGTTGTTCAAGAGATAAAATTACATATATCCTGAAAGTTTCATATAAATCAGATAACTTTTTATTAATTGACTTTTGATTTTTACATTCAACAAATATGAATTTTAAAGAAACTTTAAAGAAATTTTAAAAATTTATCGAACATAACATGCAAAAACGTATTAATAAAAGGTTATCCGATTTGGATAAAACTTTTAGAATATATGTATTTTGATCTCCTAAACAACTTTCACTTAATAAGCTTTGTCAATTTACTTAGTAAAATTTGACTTTACTATAGAGTAACTACTGATGATCATTGAGTAGCTTATTTTTAGATATAAGATGTTTTTATGTTTTTCTTCCAAAAAAGAAAGATAGCTTATTTTCAGTAGTAGCTTATTTTCAGACAAATACAGTATATACATATTGCCAAAAATAAGTTACTACTAAAAATAAGCTACCTTTTTTTTTAAAAGAAAAACATAAAATATCTTATATTTGAAAATAGACTATTTAATAATTATCAATAGTTACTCTATAGTAAAGTCAAAATTTTACTAAGTAAATTGATCTATCTTATTAAGTAAAAGTTATTCAGAAGAATAAAATACATATATTTTGAAAGTTTTAGCCAAATTGAATAACTTTTTATTAATATATTTTTGTATATTATGTTCAATAAATGTTTTAAAATTTCTTTAAAATTTATATTTATTAAGAGTAAAAATTAAAAGTTAATTAATAAAAAGTTATTTGATTTATATAAATTTTTCAAAATATATGTATTTTGTTCTTTTGAACAAACTTCGCTTAATATACATAATCAATTTACTTAATAAAATTTAGCAAAAATTACTTTTATCTAAAAATAAACTACTCACAAAATTTTTGCATAATTTTTTTTTTTAACCAAAAATAGTAGCTTATTTTTAGACATATATAATATGGGGTGCGGACAATAGAAACAGCCCATTTTTACATTTTTTTGAAAAATGAGTTTTTATCAGATTCATATAAATTTTGACATGATTGACATTTTTCAATTATAAATAAAAGTCGATTTGCATAATAAGAAATCAAGATAATGTAAAAGAAAAATTACACGAGGCTTCGTAGAGCCAACACATCACGAGATTATCCGATAGTCACCTGCTACTTTTAGCCAATCAAAATTGTGAAATTTGATTAATCTCGAATCAGTCCGAAAATCAAAACAAATGATTAAACTCAATTATCTCAAAATAAAATATATGTAAAAATGGGCTGTTTCTATTGTCTGCACCCCATATTTCAAATTTTAAACTATTTGCAAACTTTCAAATCAAATCCAAATTAAACTCAAACTTAACTAAAAAATTTGAAACCAAATCAAATTGAACTTGATTTTAAAAAAAGTTAGAGTTTAAGTTTGATTTGAAAAACAAACCAAATTTAAACTTAATTAAAGTTTGATTCAGTTCGGTTTGATAGAAGCACTAGAACAAAGGAAGCGAAAGCAAAAATACAGAAGCAAAGAAAACAAAGTGCAAAAAAAGCAAGAAAGAAAAAAGAAAATAAAAATGAATAATGAAAAGTAAAAAAAGCAAAAAGCAAACGAAGCAAAAGACAAAAAAGCAAATTACGAAAAGCAAACAAAACAAAAAGTACAAAGCAAACAAAGCAAAAAAAGCAAAGCAAGCAAACAAAACAAAAAGCAAACAAAGCAAAGAGTGAAAAGCAACAAAAGCAAAAAGCAAACAAAAAGCAAAAAACAAACGAAGCAAAGAGCAAACAAACAAAAAATAATGATTATCACAGTTGATCTTATATTAGGGATGCATGACCATGCAAATACTTCGAAAACATTTTTTTTTAATTATCAATTAACCAATTAGAATGATCAACAGTTATACAATTGAATTAATTAAATCAATAATTTATACAGGTAGTCTAAACATTATCATTATACAGTATAAATAAAGTAATCTAAACATTATCATTATATATAAATATTTTTAGTATATAGTATAGATATAGATAATACTATAATTACTGTAATATCTAGGATAATATTTTTTTTATTTAAAAGTTATTTATAAATTGTTTTAAACAATTAATCTGTATTATTTGTTATATTAGATACTTTGTATAGATCTTTAAATAAATATTAATAAACTCTAAATTGATTATATTTACTAAAGAGTAATCAATTATAGAATCAGCAAGTTAGCAATTTTTAAATTACTAGTAAATAAGCATATTTATTAATTAAAAAAATATGCTTATTTTTTACATTTTATAGTATTAATATTATTATTAATTTATTATTTAAATTATAATAAATAATTATATTTTTGCTTTCTTTTTTTTTTCTTTTAAAAATGAAAAAAAGCAAATTTTGTTACAAGATCTAAATAAACTGTTAAATATATTAAATTTATCTATACCACTTTAGCAAATACTTCTATTAGCCTATAAGTATTAAGTTAATAATTACAATAAATTAGATTCTAAAGTTACTTCAAAAAATATAATAATTAAACAAATTGTTATTGATTTATTAGTAAATATTAATACTAAAGAAGACACTTTAAAATAAATCAATAAGTTTCAAAAAAATCCAAAACTACTATATGTCTAACTTGAATATATTCTGTTAAAAAAAGCAAGATTATTTTTAGAGAGATATGATACTGTATTCACAGTGCTTTAGTAAAACAAAAAAACAGTAATTAAAAATTATATTGCTTGAGAAATAAAATATACAGTTATATTAAATCACATCTGTGGTGCTAGCACTAGTATACTATATATGCTATGTAATATGAAGATTATTATCAAAACAAATAAACAAAAAATTAAAGAAATAATTTAAAATTTAGCTTATATTAGAGTTAGGGTTAT